ATATATATATATGGTTGACAGCCAATAACCACAAAGCTGTATATCTTCAACTTTACATCAATATCAGTGCAAATAGAGGCATGAGAGGGTAGTAAAATTCCCCCCCAGGCTAAGTGCAGGACTGGACAGACTCGTTACTAAATGCCACTTGCGCATGGACACAAGGTGAACTTCTCATCTACTGACAACACCACACACACACACACACACTCACACCATCTAATAATCCTTCAAATTTGTTATTAAAAATTATGTCTTTAAAATTTAAAAAAAAAATTTATACTTAGCACTGGCTGAGACATACAGTAAGCCTTGAGGGCAGGAACTTGTCTTAGCATCCTTATCTGAGGTGACAACTCCTGTCACTTTCTCCTGACAAGAAATATTTTGAAGATGATGTTGGTCACCTAACTAAATGCTTGATTCATTGGGCAACAGACACGCATCAATTATATTTCCGTTAAATTGAATATACACAAGCAGGATCCTAAGACCTACAGAGTAAGTGAATGCATATATACTGTACACATATACTCTACAATATTTACTGTAATTATACTGTATGTAATGCTACAACAATTGCAAGTAATTTTACTAGTATATAATATTATACCGTAGTAACACAGGGAAACACAACGATATCCAATATTGTTAAAATTATGGGAGAGTATATGCAGGTATAACACTTTCAACTGCATAGTGTTAAGATAAGGTAAGATATATATTTAAAATATTTATATATTGATAAAGTAATACTGCACAATTATAGGTTATGTCAGGATGTCTTTATATAGGTATATGCATTAACAATATAAATTAAGACTACTGTATTATATTGAATATATATATATATATATATATATATATATATATATATATATATATATATATATATATATATATATATATATATATATATATATATATATATATATATATATATATATATATATATATTATCTATTGCTTTGTAATACTTATATAAATCTACCTTCCTAAGGCGTTTTATCTCTTACTCATGACCTTGTTGGGTGCTGACGATAAAAGAAAAATTATATGCAATAATACACTTATACACATATACATTTTTCCGATCTTGAACAGTTGAGTTGAAGATCACCTTTTGTCCCTGAATAAAAGGCAACAACAGTGACAAAAAAAAAATGACAATGCCCACGACTTGTGCTGGACCCTACGAAGCCCAGCAACGGTGCAGTGGGAACCTGGTGCTCCCGAGACATACCTACGCCAGATCCTATAAGGCCTGGGTGATGGCACGGCGGGAACACGACGATGCCCCCGAGACATACGTACATATGCCAGACCCTATAAGGCTTGGGTAATGGTGCAAAGGGTTATAACATGCTGTGCAATACAAGGAAAAGATAACAGCTCACTTCTGAGTTTATGATTAAAGAATTAGAATGTCCCCTTTTTTTTCCTTTTTTTTTTAATCAGCTGTAACATGTAACACTATCCCCATTACTGCCACAACTGCTGCTTTCCTGAGAGAAAAACCATTTCCTGAAACCTACAAGGTGCAGCTTGGAAGGTTATCATCTATTATTGGTTAATGGAGATAATTTTGTATAATACTTTATACAAATCCACAGTATAGTCATAGTCACCAATTTAGGTGTCAATACACTTTAGAAACCCGGTACAGCAAGGAATGGATTCCTGTCTTATAATCTAACATAAACCATTTAATAATAGTAATTAATGTACTAAAAAAAATATAAATTCATAAATTTGATAACATTTTTCAGCTTGAGAGTACAGTATGGACACAACCTCTAAATTACCCTTTAACAACCATGATACACATATTTACTCCACATAAATGAACCACACATTATATGGAGAATTTTTTCATACCATAACAACCATCACACACGCACATATGCTTCACATATACACAGTAAATTGTGTATAATTTCTTCATATCATAACAACCAAGACACACATATATTCCATATACGGAGAATTTCTATACATCATCATCCTCTACATGCAGTGTGCATTGAATTTATTATGGCATTTATGGAGAATTTAAATACATATATATCATCACCTTATACAATCTGCACAATGAATTTACAATGGAATGATGTGATGTGATTTCTGACAGAGTAAGTGTTAGTGTGTATCTCCTTGATCTCTTAAATTGCCAAAAACAGTATAGTGTACTGTACTTCTGAATAACATTCTGATGTCTCAAGGCAAGTAATAAGTTTCTGAATACAGCTGCTCCCCGACTTACGACGGGGTTAGGAACCGACATCCAGGTCGTAAGTCGAAATGGTCGTAAGTCGGAAATGTTTAAATAATATAGAAAATCTAAAATGGGGGTCTCTTTTTCTTCTCAGCACCACAAAACACTCACTTTTAAGCTTGCCAGCCATTTTAAAGTGAATTACAGATGAAAATTTTGTCTGTGTACTGACTTTGGGACTCGAAAATACGTAATTTGACCAAATTTTGGTACGATTGAGGTACTGTAGGTCGTAAGTGCAGGTGGACGTAAGTCCGGGAGGAGCTGTACTTAAGCTGGCATAAATTCATTATAAAATTTCAGGAGTCAAAGTTGTAATATTACATCTCCACAGAATTATACAGTGGCTTAAAAAAATATAATATACATTGAGATACCCTGTACTTTAATATAGCTATCCTGCCTTAAGGAGGCTGGCATATCAATTAAAAATCTAGAACTTGAAACACAGTTAAAATCAGGAACAGTACTCCCTTCAACTTGATCATGATATATAAAATAAATGGGTGAAATATTTTATAAATAATGAATAGCTTAATCTGTTATACACCGATGAATGAATAGCAAGTACAGTTGTACTACTGTGTGATTTTATATGTATTTCATACTCACAAGTCTTGTGTCACATGCTGTGGCATGATACAGGTTATTTCACCCATACAAAAATACAGAACAGTACTAAGTTATGATGGCAATATGTCAACTGCCAAGATGAACAGTAATAAAAATCACAAACTTACTTTCTGTTCTGACAGAGGGATTCCTTCAGCTTCAATTACTATGATATAAGAGATATTTTAAGTGTCAGATATCACATCAAATTCTCCATATAAAATTCCCAGTCCAGTATTAGCCATGATTACAGTATCTATCTGCATAATGACAACATGTGAACACTTCCAAGGCACACACGCACACAAATGAATACGAACATGCACACAAGCTGCATTTTGCAACACATTCAATGAACCACATTATAAATATATCTGTGTACTTGTGATGAACTTTAAAATGCATGCCCACAATTTTGCCAATAGTTTGTAATGGCGACACATCATACAGGCCCAGACCTAACCATTAGTATTGGGTTCCAGTCCAAATGGTTAGGGTAGTAAAGATTAAGTTAGGCTGGCCCATGACATGTCAGAACTGTAACCACTTGTGACTCAGTGATGGCTTCTAATGAGAAACAGATGTCAGAGGTTCAAGCTAGGTGCGTCATGTTATACTGTACTGTAATGATAAGTTCTATTGTAAAATATATCTAACGAACAGTTTTTCTGGCAATATCCAGAATAAGTTACTACTTGACTGACCCAGCGCATATATATATATATATAATCAACACCTCAACCCGCCAGGATTCGAACCCACGGCCCACAAGCCTATGACTGTGACCGGGGAACGCTAACCGCTGGACCACCAGGATACTAAAAGCAGTCCTAGACTTTGTTATATTTCACACAAAGCCTGTTCAACGAGCTTATGGTGCCGTGAACCTCTAATGGGGACCACCCGTATCACTTAGGTGGTCAGAGTAACGTTTTACCAAATCGGCTTCAAACACGAGGATCCATATATATTTATTAGCCCAATAAAGCACGGACTTCTACATACAATCAACACCTCAACCCGCCAGGATTGAACCACGCCCATATATATATATGTATATATATATATATATATATATATATATATATATATATATATATATATATATATATATATATATATATATATATATATATATGTATATATATATATATATATATATATATATATATATATATATATATATATATATATATATATATATATATATATATATATATATATATATATATATATATATATATATATATATATATATATATATATATATATATATATATATATATATATATATATATATATATATATATATATATATATATATATATATATATATACACATATATACATATATAGCCTGGCAGTACTACATCATCTTACCACACTCAAGTGTGTGATAACCATGGGAATAATTGTATGCACAAAACTCTAATTACAATTGACAATACATTTTGCATTTAAGTACTGTTCATCTTTTTCCCTGTGAGATTCCTAGCTTTTTAATTATCTTAGTAACTCATTCAAACATCTTTTAAGTTTTTTGTTTTTAATCTTTCGAGACTTTACTCACTATAATGCAGTGGTTGGAGTCCAGAACAAACATGCATACAGAGATTCTCCCTTTCTTCACTTAACTTTTCAATATACTGTATATACTATATGTTTTAAGTGGTTGTGAAGTTCAATTCAAATTGTTAATACAGTACAGTATGCCCCCCAAGTTCGCAGATCTTTACTTCGCGGTTCTCGGTTATTCGTGGATGACACCCTGAATGTACCCACGAATGTCTGTAGGTAGTTTTAATGTTGCCGGCATTTTCGCGGCTGGGACAGGGAGCCATTTGTTCTTGAGACAGTAATTTCCTTTACCTGTATTGTAAATACAGTATGTGTGTGTGTGTAAACACACACACACAAATAAATAATAAAGGGAATATACTCTCACAAATAATCAGAAAAAAAATTATTAAAAATGTTACAGTTTACCCTTAAGTTCGTGCTCCATTACCTCATTAATAGAGCACGGATTTTAGGGTAGACCGACACATTTTTAATACATTTTTTTCTGATTATTTGTGAGAGTATTTTCCCATTATTATTTATTTGTGTGTGTGTCTCCACACACACACACACATATATACAATACAGGTAAAAGAAATAATTGTCCTGTGGGCAAACACATAAAGGGAATACTGTATGCATTTCTTTGTACACAAGTAAAATGTATCCCCCCCCATCCGCATATGTTATTCACTGATTTGGCGATTCGCAGCCATTTTGATATAACCTAACCCCCGCGAATTTGGGGGGCCCTTATTCAGTTTGTAATCAGTAAAACACTACAATATATCAGCTCAATTGTGGCCACCCATTGAAGTTCAGTGACTATTTTATAAACACTCAGCTAAATAAAGTAGAGTGCTTCAGTATCGATGCTGGGATACTTAACAATAAAACCTACAAAACTCTTTAGAAAATAAAAATATGAAATTCCTTTCATTGAAGCTCCATCAGATACACCATACAAGATAGTTGCAATATAGATGATTTTTGTCCTATAGTTAAAAATAATTGAAGTTATTATGAACTGCATATGTGCGATGGCATGTGCCATCTCCCATTGAATAACCACTGCATTTTCATCTTCTCAAATTTAACATCATAAAAATATAATAAATACAAAGTTTTTCACCATCCTTGATCATTAGTTCATCTTTAACACATTCCTAATGATCCAGATTGGTTCATAGCATTGTTCAGTCTTTCCTGAACGTGTCATTTATTATTATTTGTGTCATTTTACTACTGCAGTAAACCATGACAAGCACAACCACTTCCCAACATTAGTGACAAACACTGCAACATGGTGGACACAGGTCAATCACATTATCATAAATCATAGTAAAATATATGATCATCACCATAAAATTGTACTATAATTACAAAATATACAAAATCAGTCTATGACACTTGTACATCAGCACTGGAAACCGCTCCAGCATTGGAGAAAAATATTTCTGTACCTGCTAAGCATGGTTGCTAAAGTGTATTAGGAGGAAGGCCATCCAAAATTTCTTCCCACCATCTCATAGAACTGCTCATTGAAGGGGGCAAAAAACTTACGTAACCGGGACATTACTGCAGGATCGACGTACGGATGTGGTCGACCCTTAGCATCAGCTAAACATTTTTGAAAAGTTTCATTTCTCATACAATAGAAACCCTTTGTCTCATTGAAGTAGAAATTATCTGGTTTTATATGAAGTGGAAGTCTCAAGAACCGCTGCACCTGGAATAGAATATTAAGTTAATATTAATACAGTACCTGTAGTTTTCACTAACATGGAAATATATTGCTTATAAAAAAATAAAAAATAAATAAAAAGAGTGAGTTATCCTAACAGTTGAGGCCCCAAAAACAAAGAAAAAAACAAATACCAACTGTTTTAATTATACAATATTCAGACTAAACTAGGAACATATAAACATATATGAAGTACTGTACAGTGACACCACAGTGGCAGTCAGTACTGAAATGTTGGCTGTGAGGTCACATAAAAGAAAATTCACCGAGTCGCACACATGATAATATGCATTTAAAACTTCACAATAATTCAAGGTTACATAATACATTTAAGAAACCCTTGACATAACAACAAATTGAAAAAATATTTCAAAATAGAAAAATAAGTTCTGAAACTTGCAATAATCCATGGAAAAAACAGTTAACTGGATATGCTTTTAATCATTCACACACAAATAAAGAATGAAGGTGGACAGGTAACCTACTTACCGGGTACTTGCTTGTTTTCTAATTCCCTTGATGTACCCTATATAAAAACTTGGAGGGAAGTAAAAGTAACAATGAAAAAGAGATTGAGATAGCATGGCTTGACAATATTATACGACTGTTAAAAAGTACAGAGCCATATTTAAAAAACAATACAGTACATAGTAATATTAACCTTTTTCTAAATATTTATTTAAAAAAGACAATATACTGTACTCGCACATTAACCACATTTGCACAAATTTTTCCCCTGTGGTTCACCTGAAGTAATCATCATCACCATCATCATTGTTTAATGGCCATTTCCCACACTTGTGTGGGTTAGCTGTAAATACCTAATATCAACTCTTCAGCCATCTCATCATTTTCAATTCAGCTCTCTTCAGCCTGTGCACATCATCCTCTTTCACTGCCATACAACCTCACTTTTCTCACACCAATTGTATATCTTTCCTTTTACACTAAAATTTCTTCTTGCTATCAATAAAGGCAACAACTCATAAACTTTCTCCATGTAATTCTGAATATTGCAACTAAGAGTGAGCTTCAGCACCATCTCTAGCACTGATCATGTCACACAGGTGGCACAGGTTTCTCTAGTTTTGCGAAGGCTGTATGATTACCTGCACATGCAGAACACTTAAAGTCTGCAACTAACCTTATCAATTTCAGTAAAGGGATCAGCTACAAGGTTATCCCCATCGATGATATGTATTTGTTCCCGAGGAAATTCTCTCAGCCAACGCAAGACATGCACTGCGTACTGGCTGATCTGTATTGCTTTGAACCTGCAAGAAAAAATAACCACTCACACATTCTGAATCAGCAAACAGCCCATTCTACCAAAATATGGCCACATCACCTGGTAATTCAGTCAAAGACACTCATCTTCAAACTCATCCTACAGGTTGATGAGATGAAGCAATGAAAAGAATTTAAGATGATATTGTCATTTCCTTAAAAAGAGACCAAGTATCCTGATTACAGTACAGTACAAACTCCCAAACAGATAAACAAACACTTTTCTTGTGCTCCTCTAGTATACATGATCACTCAACACCAAAACAGATCAATCAAAGTTTAGGTTCTATGGACTACATCTGCAAAATAATATTCACCAAACATTTGACTGGGAAACAAGAGAAATCTGAGTGGGGTGGTGGGGTAATGAGAGAGAGAATGGGGCAATGAGAGAGGGAGTGGGGTAGTGAGAGATGGAGTGAGATAGTGAGAGTGAGTGGGGTAGTGAGAGGGAGTGGGGTAGTGAGAGGGAGCTTATTTTCCACCCAAGAGCCATTAACTTCACAAATAAAATATAATGTACAAAATTTTATGAAGGTCGTAACTTTCCATCTCATTTAACCAAATATATCCTGACTTTCAGAATTTTAATTATATAATAACAAGATGATTTACTTATAACAAAGAGTTATTGCTTCCCTAGGTAAGTGTTCACAGCTAGATACACAATCTTACTCATACTTAGCTCTTTCCTGTGTTTCCCTCCCGCCCATCGAATCCATTTGTCATCATGGATGACAGGCTGTAGTCTTTACCAAGCCTTTTTGACTCTATTGTACTTGGCTACTCTACACAGCTTATACTTCTCCCACTATTCTATAGTATTCAATTGTAAAACTCCTACAAAATTCATGCACTTGTGCAAATCTAGAAAAATTCTATGCAGAAGTACTACAGGTATATATGAGTAGCCCTCAGCCAGTGGGGAGCAAGCTCCAAACAAAAAACGCCAGAAAACGCAGTTAAACTTTTCTCAGTGTCATGAAGAGCGGTAAGTCACCTTAGACTTATACAATTTTGGACCCTATAAATTCTGAGCCAGAGAGGCACAAAAGCCACAGACAGAAAGATCATGCAATGAGGTATGTGTAGAGACCAAAATCTACTTTTTGCGCCGGACGGTGCTTGTTCACGTCTGGCTGAGGGCTACTTATAGACAGTATAAAAGAAGACAAATTCATTTAGTTGCATCAGTCAAAAGTGTGAAAAGTACAGTACAGTAACCCCAATACTAACCCGTCATTAATTTCACCATCAGGAGTGAGCACTTTCTTGTGGAATGGGGCAACCTGTCTCCCTTTCCGCATTTTGGCTTCCATTATTTGAGTGTAATCAGACAGGACCCTCATTGCAGGTTCCCGCACGATTAACAACAGTTTTATGGTTTCGTTCATGGCACGTATTCTGGCAGGAGCCTCACGTGATATAAAGTACGATGGCGTCTTTTCTATTGTAACCTGCCAAAAGGAAATGGTCTTCACTCTTATGATTATCTAAACAACACACAAAATACAATGAACCCTTCCAGAGATTCTGTATCCATCTGGTTGTCAGAAAACAGAATATCTTTATTTCTTTTGCAGTTCATCACCATCAACAAAAGCTGCTTTCCATACTTGAGGCCAGACATGATTACCTGATGGCAGTTCTCAATGCTGCCTCTATCATTAGGTTCTTAACTCTTCCTACATCATTCTTGGCGTACCCATACACTGATCACTAATGTGGCAGCCACCGCCACATGAACAAGCAGGAGATAACCAAACACTTGTCTCCTTAACGTTAGTAACCTAATGTAAGAAACTTTAATCATGTAACAAAAATGACAAAAATTCCATTGTCAAGATCAGAGTATAATTTTTCAAAAAGAAACAAGCAAAAATACCTCGCGGTAATGCTTTGAAAGCTGTTGTCGGGTGTCTCACATTGAAGTATATGCATCCTTGGGTACCAGAGTTTATAATTAACTCAAGTCTACAGAGAAGACTCAGATTCAACCATTAAAAGAATAATTAATTAACTTGATATGACCACATTGAAATCATGTCAGATGTACTCTTGAATTATAGATTCACATGGTGCAAATTAGTCTTGAAATGAGAACAAGCACTACTATATAATGATGAATGAGCTGCAATCACTTCTACCTACTTACACTCTTGCTTTGCAATATGGGACCCAACTGTCACAATATGTGAAGTGATTCTGATGGTTTTCTCCCTTAAGTTCATTGCAATACAGTACTGTATTTGAAGGAAGAACTTCATTTAATCATACTCAGATTTCCAAAACAATATACTGTACCGGGTAATAGTGAAAACACCTTACAGATAAATGCTGACTACTTCCCTGCATAAAGATAGAAAACAATATCTGTATACAGTGAAACCTCCATATAATAGACTTCTTTCTCCATATAATCCATTAGTTGGGAGGTTTACACATCTAACGCACCCTCAATATAACGGACTTTCACCTCTATAGTGCGTTAGACGTAGGTTTCACATTAAATAGACCCTCGATATAACATAATTTCCTTTTCATGTAGTCCGTTAAATAGAGGTTTCACTTGTATAAATATCTGAATTTCTCTTCACCGTCAACAGATGTCAGAATCCATATGGAAGAAATATCTGGAAATTTTGTGGTTAGTGAAGCAGTAGGTAAGCCCACTAACTCTTAGTCCCCAGGTACTGTACTGTACAGAAGAAAAGAAAGTAAGGATGAGGTGAATATCACAAGAGGGCACAAAAAGTTACTAAATCTGCTATTCAAGAAGGAATGAATCACAAAAAATATGGTGTAACCTTACATCATCTTCATACTAGGGATATTTTGTCATGGTATGTGACGCATTAGAGTACCAGTCACTTCACTCCCTATATCAAAATGAGATTAGCAAAGACAGAGAAAAAGAAATACTGTATAATGCAGTTCCTATGATCCATAAAAAAATAAAAAATAAAATTTTATTAGTGTACTCATATACTGCATACATCAGTTTTAAATGTAACACAGTATTATTAAAGTAATTTTAGCTAAAGTTTGTATATTTACATTTTGCAACAACATTAATCTACACCAGGTGACAAAAGCTTCATCAGAGAAATTTAAATGTTTCTTCATATGAAACAACTGGCACCTAAATCTAAAATTATTCATAAAATCAAGACAAGAAACTCCTAAATCTAATAAGTTATCACTGACAAAAAGAAATCTTTTGTATTCTTAACTCGTGTTTGCATTTCAGTTCATAGCTGACAGAATTTCTGTTGTCTTAAAGTATCATTCATTTCTCTGTACATTAAATGATTACAGAAATAGTTTGCTTGGATAATGTTACCTGCCACTAAATATATAATACCAACTGGTAAAGGATGGCTCTGCCAAAGGATGTGCGACTGTTATGGATCTCTAAGGTCATTTGTTGATGATCTACTGAATATAAAATATGGTATACAGTATTACCACACCTCTAGTAATAAAAAAAAAATCCTATCAGGTGATTTAAGAAAATGTTAATTTCATTCAGCTTTAAAAATATGTAACAATGACTTCAAACAACAAGATTAAAATCTATTTTTTTCCAATGTCTTTGTACTTCAAATCCAATATGCTACATCACTAAAAAAAATAATAATGGATAGAACTTAATACAGTACCTGAATAGATTATTTGTGATAAGGTTGGTCACTATCCAATCAGGAGATATTGTGTACACAATATCAGGATGTACTGTACATGCACAGACAGCTATGTATGGGCCCTGAGGGGGTATGACCTAACAAAATAATTAAACTGTCAGAGAAAATTATTATGGTTTAGTAAAACAGAAATAGGAAGGATGGCTATATTAAATGAAAGCAAAGAGTAATACAGTACAGTATGCACTGAGCACCAAGAAGAGTTGACAAAGTGCTGTTCTTGTAAGAAATTAGATGAAATATCAGTCCCCAGGTTAAAACAATATAAAATGTTACTCTTAAATTAGGTTTAGTACTGTATTAAAATTGAGAATTTATAAAAGACATTAAACTCTTAAATAGCTTCTGCAGAGCCAAAATTCATAATGCTGGATATTTTTGGTGTGAGTTTTAGGACACAATTTTGACCACATGCCTTAATCGACTGTACTTGCAGGAATGAATTACATTATGTCGTACAGTATATTCAAAATTATTAAATCAAGACACTGAGCATTCCTGCTAAATAACTGTTTTTAAACATTCAAAATGGACAGTACTCAATAATATACATTATGTACACATGCCAATAATAATAATAATAATAATAATAATAATAATAATAATAATAAACGGTTTATTGAAAAAGTTTGCAGCCCGAAGGCTGAAAATATACATTGGACATAAATGACTGTGTGTGTATGTGTGTGTATGTTATACTGTACAAAGATAATTGAAAATAAATGATACACAAGATGAGATAAGTTTAAATAGCCAATACAGTACCTGTAGTCCCTTCTGCTCACTCACTTATTAAATGCATCAATCATTACCACCACCCACTGACTGAATGCTTATCACTATATTCCACTACTGTTTAGTAAAAAAATTATTTGCAAAAATATTACATATTGTAAATTTTATTTTTAAGTAAATACTGTGCCACAGTTAATGTAACAAATGCAACAGCATACAGGGGTACATGAAATTAGCAAAAAAAAGTAGGAAAAACTAAGATATTTTGTTAGAAAAGATGGCAATCAATGCCCAGGTGACTCACACCCAGAGTCAAAACAGAAAAAGAAAACAGAAACACCAAATCATTTTCATCCCCTCCTTACTGCTGCCATCACACATTACCAGACATGGGGCAACTAATTAACTTAGCTTAACTAGTTAACTTGTGAAATAACAGTTAACTTAACTTAATCAAAATTTTGGCAAATTAATTGATTACCTTAAATTAATTATCAATTAACTCCTTAGAAAAAATAACAAATAATATATTACACACCAGCCCTTGCGCCCAGTGAAATCCATACTGTTGACTTTACTGTACAGTACAGTACACGAAACATCCGTAGCCAGACTGGAGAGGGTGAGGCCGCCCTGACTGCTGCCTCACAGTTACTCAGTTGTCGTTGCAGTGTCCATGTGATAAACACGCTCAAAGGGCGAGGTGTATATTATAATACTTTTTGCAAGTTGAAAAGGCTTGAAAGTTGAAACACGAGACAAACATTTTTGAATACACATTATGGAAATGAACATAATGAGGTTATCATGATGTTTGTGAAAAAAAGATGAAATTGTTATGAACGGTGTTGTGGTAATTTGGTAAACCACAATTTGAGTATCTGACTTGAACTTGGCAGTTTGCAATTATTTAAGTGGTAAAAAGGTGCAATTTGTGACCTAACTACTTTTTACGGTGCCTAATACCTTCTAACACATGAAACAGGATAACCTTAATTTTAATCGTAATGCAAAGAATGAGTGCAACAGGATTCTCATTTATTTTGAGATCAGTACAAATTAACTGAACACAGTGTAGAGGTCGAGTCATGTGAAAAACTGTTGAGTAAAAAATATAAGTCAAGAATATATAATTATTTTATCTCAAGACTTATTCATACCAAGGAAGTAGTGTGCCAGACTGCCTCACTATTCAGGTATTCAAACTACATTATTCATTGACTCTTCTGGAAAACATTTACAGGATATTAAATTATTTAATCCACATGAAAATTCCCCTATGCAAATTTGACACAGACTGGTTAACTTAACTCAATCAAAATTTTTTTAACTTAATTAGTCAATATTAAAAAAATCAGGTTAACTTAACGGGAAAAATTTGAAAATTAGCTTAACTCAACTAGTTAAATTTGAAACTTAATCGCCCCATGCTTGCACAATACCATAAAAATTATACAAGTCTTGCATATGTGTACAAACATCAAATCTAGTGTAACAAGTGCCACAGCATAAATAAAACATAAAAAACCAATTCAAGAATAACAAAATAATTTAGTTCACAAGGTGATGACACCATTACCTGACTGACAACAGGGCAAGAACATACCGAACGTCACTTACATTACTGAAATTAAAATATAGAGTTGAAACAAGTTATGGTTTGACTTTAAAACTACTAAGGTAAATGGTGACCATCAAGCACAAGCAAGAATCTACCCGATAACATTTTTATACAATTACTGATATAAATCCATTAAAAGTCTAAGGAAAGTTATGAAGTAAGAATAAGATTTGTCTTGATTCACTGACATATCAAATTTTCTTAAAATTTTCACTCACCTAACAATTGTCATCAGTTCTTAGTACAGGTATCCTTCGAGATACGAATGAGTCAAGTATAAAAAAATAAAAGCATTAAAAAATATTCATTAGGTGAATTTACATATCACGAATAAAAGAACATACACGAAAAAAATAGGGTTTGGTTCCCCAATGACAAAAATACTCCAATACCACACACCAGAAACACAAAATTGGCTCACAAACAGGAACAAAACTTACCTAACTAATGATAAATACTGTAGTACAGTACTCAACTATTCTAATTTACTACCTAACATGAAAAAATAAATTAACTTTGGTACATTACCCCAAGCTGAGAGTCTCAGAAAAACGAACTTCTTTAACAATTATTCCACTATATATAAATGATGCAGCTTAGAAATAATATAAAACCATAAAATGAAGACCATGGGAGAGTACGTGTGACGTAAACGTGTGTACTATAGGTGGTGGGCGGCAGCCTATGTCTCCGACTCACCAGCCTAGCCGCAGCGTTTATTGTTACTTGTAATGAAATTATAAAAGTTAATGAAAAATCATTACAATAATCAAATGTGGCTTAGAAATAAATAAAATATAATATAAAACTATAAAATATGACATGTAGAGAATTGGCATTTCTATGAAAAAAAAAATGAAGTACACACTACTAAGGAACCACTTGTGTCCTAAATGGACAAAATTTAATAACGTCACTGCTATATCCCCCACACTTTTAAGTCAAGAGAATAAAATTACACTAGTACTGTACTATACAGAAATAATAACAAACAAAAATTGAAAATTAGTGCAAAACAAAAAAAAATGAGATAAAGGAAGATACTGAACATGAAACAAGTAAAATATTGTATTAAATAGAGCAGAGTTAGCAAGAAGGCAATATGCTGGGGTACCCAAGATATTAATGCATGGAGAAGCTTGCACAGTACTGTATGTGAACCATCCTCCTATACAGTAGCAAGAGGTTATGCACATAAGTGGATGGATTATTCCATGGTACAGTATATAAAAATCTTGGCACAACCTCAGTATCCTTCCTTAATCATATGCATAAGAAATAAATACTGTATTATAAAAAACAAAATAGAGTAGTACCTTATAAAAGGCCAAAACTGACATTGGATTCTGTCGAATTTAAACAATTAATAGATTTTTTAACTAAGATACCGGTATACTTTATTCTTGATTTTCTCATACTGTATGAAACAATTAAGGTGGGATAAAAAAGTTGTGGTTTTTCATGACTTGTAATTGTCTTTTAGATTAACATCAATCAAAAGGCATTTCCACCTAAAATGGTGCATACCTTTTTCCTTTTTACTTCTGTCTAACACCCATCAGGTAAACAATGAAATATACTATGGAATGACCCATATCTAATGTAAGTTTAAGCAAGTGTTATAGATACCTGATTATCAAAAGAGTACGGCATTCTTTTTCTATACCACTCTAAGCCATTTGCATATCGTTCATCATCATCAAAGAAATGCATCTCAATTCCGTTCTTCTGAATATGGGGATGAAGATTTAGCATCTCTATCAGGGCTCGAGTCCCGCATTTACGCACTCCGATGATCAAGGCTTGGGGCAGTCTTCTCTGGGTGCCTCGGATGCGAAGCCGCTTGCGATAAGCCTCTGTTGTGACGGAATCCAGCCCAGTGGTCTCAGATACTGCTGATGGAGCTGGAATTATTCTATTGTCACACTCTATCAAACTGCAAGTGGAGTGACACACATCTACTGGGTACTTACAATACAAAAAAGCAGCGCAAAGTCTAAAAGCATCCAGCCGATTAAATGTAACATCTAATTGGGGTAATGACTTTAGTTAGGCTTTATTGTTTTATGGAAAAAGTAAAGAGAAGAAGAGGACATTGCAGAAAAAAACTGTAAATGACAGAGTTAAAATACTGTAAGACCTGAAGTTAGTCTGAAGCAAACCAGTTTTCTATGCTCTACTTACAAGAGCACAGCTTACCATATATTGCTGCAGCACCTATGGGAAAGGTGTAGTAGAGAACGAGGCAAAAGAGCAGTGAAGAGAAAACAATGATGGGGGCCATCCGCCGCAGTGAACTAAGGGGTGAGGAGGAGCTCTCACAGCGTCCCCCCATCAGTGGCGGCCCCCTGGATGGCTTTCGTCCAGGGTCTTCACTCCATGTAGTTTGATAGCCCTCATTCCCAAATGACATGGTCGCCTACCCATGCCACCTACAATATATATATATACAAGCCTTGTAATAATGACAGATCATGACAGATTGTAAGAGGATGAAAACACAGAAGGCAGAGCATTCCACAGTTTGGCTGTGTGAGGAAAGAAGGATGCACTATAACGGGTTATTCTAGCGTGACCAACATCCACACAAAAATGGTGGGCACCACAGGCAAGACAAGTGTTACGAGGTCACTGCCTTGCCAGAGGTACACAGGATCCCAAAGCCACCAAACACTGCCCATTAAAGCACTGTCTATCTACTCCTCTCTCACATGGATGAAGGGGCAGGCAAACTCAAGTAAAAGAGTTGGGTGAATGGATGCAAAATGGATGTAAACAACAACAGGATATAGTTACAACAATGTTCCCCATATATAATTAGTAAAATTACATACACTGTACAGAATGTTACTCCTTATTCTCCAGTGATTAACAATGTTTCATATCATTTCACAGTACAGTACTGAACATATATTTTCTATAAACAGTATGATTGATTCCTTACAATTTTACCGAAGTGTCATAAATGCAAGCAATATTAAAATGATCTTATTCTTACAACAAAACAGTAATCATTGTTTAGTGTCTACATGACATAAGTATACCCGCCATAAGAGACTAAAGAAGAGGCTTGCTACATAATGGTAATGTTAATTGAGAACATCAAGTCAATTGAAGTTAACAACACAGGAAAAAAAAAAATATGCATATCCTGACCTCCCAAGCTGGTGGCTTCTTTGATCACCCATGTTTCTGATGAGTTTGTCTTTCACTATCCAGTGTAACTACAGTATTGTACATGAGGAAAGCAGAGTACAGTACCCAGTGAAAATCTGCCATGTTTGGTGGGGTTACACTGAAAAACACTCTCCTCACATCCAACCCAGGATTGAACCTGAGATACAGTGGTGAAGGTCCTAAGGGACAAGCATGCTATTACTGTACCACCAACACCCCCACTTCTTCACATACAAGGAATAACAATAAAAAAAAAATGCTTGACAATCTGGACACAGGCCACCCAGCAATCATGTGACATTGCTCCAGTGGTTCACTAGGATATACAGTACTATACTATACTGTATTTTACCCTATTTTACTTTTACTTTATCCTCTTCGTCTCTGGTTGGCTTATTAGGCAGTCAAGTAGTTGGCCATTTCTCTGACATGTTCCGGTACAGTTAGTAACTTATGATTGGAACTTTTGGCAGTTTGTTGTTTCTACTATTAATGTATTGTAACGCATTTAACAATTATAATTTTTAGTTCTACTTTACTCTTCTTACACACCTTAACTAGATATCTTAAGGTTCTTTTTGAGAGAAGAAAAGTTGTTACCTCAGGAAAAGCCCATATCCACTCCAGAAATATAATTTATTTGTTTTGGTTTTCATTTAGTAATTCAAATTTGATTTTCTTTAAAAGGGCAAACCAACCAAACCTATCTAACTTAACCAAAAGTATAGAAATCTAAGGTTAGATATATTAAATTAACCTCTTGTGTATGGTATCCCCTCTCAGCTGAATTAAATGTCTTGTGTTAACCAAATAGAAGTGGCATCCCCATAGCAAAGGGGTTAGGTTTGGTTGTTTTATATTTTAAATAAAGGGCTTAACAGTGCAATCTGAATAAAAGCAACTTGAATAGAACTTAACATGGGGTTATTTTTAATTTTGTACTGTATTATATATCTGGGTATCAATACTATATGTAAAAAAAATATTTAGTGGGGTCGGGATATATTGCGAGATAGGGTCCAACGATGTTGCTATACTGTATACTAAATCACGCTATGTAATTTACATGTAATCAATGGGGAAATAGAGTTAGGTTCTGGAAACAAATTTTTTTTTTACTAAACTTGACTTAACGACTTCATTTTCTTACTAACTAAAGCACCAATGAACACTAGACTCAGGAACAACAGGCTATTTCAATATCAAGGAACACCAGACTCGGAAGCAGACGCCACACTGCCATCCTCACTTGACAATCCCACACCTACATAAACAAACACCAAAAATATTAGTTACAGTATTAAATCTTTTCCATTAAGTTTTCCATTATCTTCACTTCACTATCAACCCATTTACACTCGCTTTAGTACATGTAATTGGAATCTGCACCAGACTCGGCAGCTGGTGCGCCATCCCGAGAACAACAGACGACACACTGCCACCCTCACTTAACAATCATAAACGAATAAACCAAAAACATGTTACAGTATTAAATCATTTCTATCAAGCTTCCCATTATCTTCACTTCATTTTTTACATCACTAGCAACCCATTTACACTCACCTTAGAAGTCGTAATCTGCAGCTTACCTTTAACCTACTACAGTGCACATGGATGATTGGAAATGGTCAGTGGGATTTTTCAAACTTAAAAAATCAACCCTGGTTAAGTTTGACTTAAATTTGTTTGTTGTTTCCCTAATATTCCCACAATTCCTTCACACAAGTACTGTATACAGTGGTCAGTTCTGGCCCATGTTGGTCATTCTCACATACAGGTACAGTGTCCCCCATTTTATGAAGTGGTTCAGTTCCTTGAAAACCACTTGTTAAGTGAATTTTCATATCTCGAATAACATAACATACAGTATGGGAAGAATAGGTTTGGGTCCCTATCGACAAGAAAACCCCAATATCATATCTAAAAAACTGAAATAGGTTCATAAACAACCAAACTACTGTAATTTAGTACTATACCTAACTAATTTGGAGCGCAGTAGTCGAATGGATACAATGCTTGCCTCCTGTTCCAGGGGTCAGTGGTTCGATTCCCAGGTGCCTAAGTTTACAACTTAGGGAAGTGAATAAGGTCAAGTGCTGTACAGTACAGTACCCTGTGTACTGAAGGCTTAGTATACAGCATGCTGTATCCACACTGTCCTTAATGCACAGTTATGCCTATGAGACCCACTTTAAATTAGAACATAACACATTAAAAAAATTAATCAAATATAAGTTTGGTACATTACCTTATGGGGCCATATCTGTATTAGCGAGAATATCTTTCATATAATAAAAACGAGGTGTGAGCATAGAAAATTTGTACAAGTGAATGTTTTTTACTCGAATATTCATAAAACGAGGGATACCTGGATACATGTACAGCACTGTATAGTGTATACCAATAACCAAGCTAACCTATCCTAACTTAAGTAGAGTCTTACCGAAAACTTTAAAAACTTAATACTTTAAATTCCGAAGAGGTGCACAAGTTAAGAACTACACTAGGAAATTTTGCAATAGAAGAAAACTTTTCTTTCGTAAGAACATCAATTTTTTTTTTTTTTTTTTTACCAATCCTATCCTAAAAAGAAAAACCAAACGAACCAAGAGATCTAAACCTAATGACTCTCATATACTGTATCTGGTTACACGACTTTTCCAACCAAACTTAACATGAAGTAGAAGAAAAAATAAATAAAAAAAGGAGAGAAAAAAATAAAAATAAAATCGAGCCTAATATCACATAATAAAGCTTGGTACACTAACTGTGAAACATGAGAATAGGAGACATGGGCCAGCATCAACTATACTCACGAAAAAAAAAACATGGCAATAGCCACTAGATTAATTACTTCCCAAAGTATTGTAAGCTACTGACATTTTCATAAATTTCATCATGCTACAGTATTGGTTAATGGATTTTACTGGAGAAACTCTTAATTTCAGGTACTGCATAGGACAGACTCCACATACTTCTTGGGAAACAGCAAGTAGCTACTAGATCATGACCTCTTCATCTTCAACTCTTCAGAGGTTGACATAAACCCCACTGTGTAACTGAACTATGGCATTATTCAGTGATTCAATCCTGTCCAAATCAAACGGAGTTCAGTGATGGTGCTTGTCAGCTGACCATAAGCAAGAGGGCCACACCCACAGTCTATTTGTGGTTTCCTTAGTAATTTCAGTTTTTCCTTGCACAGCCACCAGATCTGGATTCTAAGCACTTAAATATTTGAGTAAAACACTACAAATAACAATCACTGAGTTACAGAATCATTCAAAACACTTACCTTAACTTTAAGAACAGGATTCGGATCACACATGCTTCTATTATGTGGTTAAAGAAATACTGTAACATGCAAACGTAATGAGCAATATAAGTTTGTCCTCGTCCAACAGGGCTTCAAGACTGATGTTTCTTTGAAAAAAATCAGTATTAGTCCAGCTTATGAAATACAAGTGGTTTATACATGATATTTTGACTTCTGGGTTAACATATAGATTAAAGCACTATTTGAGACAATGTGAGAAGGACCTAGGTGTGTATGTTGACAATGAGCTGAAGTTCTCGGGACATTGCGAGAAGAAGATAAATCAGACAAATAAATTATTGGGTTTTATAAGGTCATTCAGACATCTAGACGGTCTTTCCCTCTTAACGATCTTCAAGAGTGAAGTGCTTCCCGATCCGGAGTATTGTCACCCCGTCTGGTCCCCGAGATATGCTAGGGACTGTCAGTTGGTTGAAACTGTTCAAAGGAGGGCCACCAGACTGGTGCCTGCACTTCAGCACCTCAGCTACCCTGAGAGATTTGAGCGCCTGAACTTGCCTAGCTTATACTGGACAGGCAAGGGGTGACCTAATTGAGGTGTATAAGCATCTCAAGGGGCACTACTCAGTCGAGTGCCCTTACTTAGAGCTGGCAGACGTTCACCCCACAAGGGATCACAGGTCAAGATTGAAGAAGCCGCAAGTCCAGAAAAATGTGAGGGCAAACTTTTTCGGAGTGAGAGTTGTGAACTCTTAGAACAATCTGCCAGAAAGTGTTGTGATGGCACTGAGTGTGAGCTCTTTCAAGTCAAGGCTTGACCAACACTGGAGCAGGTTCAGGTACATTCAGGAGCTGGTACATGCCCGGTACTTGCCAACAGTGTGTAACAGAGACGTGACCGATCGCCCAAGCGGCTAACGAGCCGATCAGTGGTGAAGAGGATAAAAGATTAGATAGCAACTCGTGGGGGGGGGTCGAGGGGGAGGGGCATGCCCCCACTAGGGAGTTAGGTCAGGTTAAATAAAGATAAGTTAAATACTGACTTCATTACATATCTACTTGGAGGGGGGGTAGGTTAGTGTTTCTTTTGTGTACATAAAAGCAGAAAAATATTTTTCTCCTGCATAAATTTTGCTGTTTTATTTACTGGGGGATTTTGATTTCTCCGGAAAAGCTGAAAAAAACTAATGTTTGACCATGTTTGGAAAACATTAGTTTTTTTGTTTTTTCCCCAGAAAAAAAATCTCCAATTTAAAAAACAGCAAAATTCCTGCAGGAACAAAATGTTTTGCTGGCGAAATTGCTCGCAGCACTTAAGTACAGCATAAATAAATAGTTACATTTTCAATCACCATAACATCTGACCAATTCTGAACAAACTACTCATGCCTAGAGTAATACAGTACAGGACATATGTACGTACAGTATCTTTACAGTCCACCTAACATATCGGAAAATACAAACTATTAAAGACAATGATAATGTTACTTCCCTGGGCTATCCATGTCAAATCGCCTTACTGTTTATCACACATTGTACAGTATATTATCCACACCATGTACTTAATGATGAATGGATGTGAAATTGAATGTCCATTTTACTGAATATATTCAACATGATTAAGGTAGTTAATTATATGATCTGACTAGATAAACTGATTCTGTGACTAGGTTAATCGCTAATATTTCATAAAATTGGGCGATTATAAAATTCACCTCACATTTGCCGGTCCGACTAATTACCCAAATGTAGCCAAATATAGTCGCAATGAAGTCAAATAATGGTCCTACATGAATAAATCGGACTGCTAATTACTTCTCGACTAGTATTTGGTGTCAGAAAGTCACAAAAAATTGGAAAACTTACTTTAATCTGAGTTAATAGATCGCGTGCATGTACCGACGGTGCGAGGAATTACCCAAATGTAGCCGCAATGAAGTCAAATGATGGTCGTACAAGCGTAATTCGGGCTGTGAATCACTTCTCGATTATTATTTGGTGTCATATAGTAACAAAAAATTGGTAAACTTAATTTAATCCGAGTTGTGTTAGGTTAGGTTAGGTTAGATTAGGTTAGGTACATGCACTTGATCTATTAACTCAGATTAAAATAAGTTTACCAATTTTTTGTGACTTCGTGACACCAAATACTAGTCGAGGTTAGGTTAGGTTAGGTACATGCACTCGATCTATTAACTCAGATTAAATTAAGTTTACCAATTTTTTGTGACTGTGACACCAAATACTAGTCGAGAAGTGATTGGCAGTCCGATTTATTCATCTAGTCCCATTATTTGACTTCATTCCGGGTACATTTGGGTAATTAGTCGGACTCCACATTTGCCTCCTCAGAACATTACAATGAACTAATTTTGGTAATGAAGGGGACGACCAAGTTACAGGATATTGGCTGTATTTATGATAGCACAGTGAATGTACTTCCACTACTAGAAATTTATTTCAGTGTTGTTTTCTGGGTAAAAAGTCGTTTTTATAAAAAACGAATATTAACTGAGCAACCTAACCTAACCTATTACTGTCATAGAAGAAAATCGATTCCTAACTAAATATGAATCACTAGTGAAACGGTAAAAAATCCTCAATACCCATTGCATTAAAAAATAATATTAACCGTTTTCTGTACAGTACTATACTGTACGTGCAACAAGGTAGAGCTTAGGCATAGCAACTGTTAAGATGGTATATGCAACAATCTATTCATTAATAAGCTTTATATGGAAGAGATACATTTTTAATTCACTTAATCACGCACAAATGCACACACACGTCAATGGGCATGTCAAGATGACTCGTACAGTAGCCCTAGGGTAGTATTGTACGGGTCAGTTGTATGGTTTGTAGACAGCCAAACAACATTTTTCTCATTACTACTGTTCAAAATCTCACTCTATCGTCACACGGCGACGTAATTGGCATCCCAGGGTAAATGAAACATGATCTGGTAGGTATCATTTGCATCTCAGCCACACCCAGTCAGTCATCTTTTGTACACTTTCCTATCTGTATCAGTCCTTCACACATTATAGTCAGACCCCCTGCCTCGTCTCTTATTGGCATAGTTAACCTCCCCTACGTCTAGTTATAATACCCTCATCTCTCTAAATGGTTCTCGTCATCCCAGAGCCATGTTCAAGGTTCTCGTGAAAACTTTTCCATTTCCCATCACTCTCTTACCTCACACATGTGACCACCTTGGGATGCCACGGATTATGAAATATTCAAGCAAGAGCAGCAGAAGCACACACAATAGGCAAGCTATATACTGTTATGTGCTAACCTTTCCCACCCGACTGATCTCGACTTGCCTCCCATCACTCCCCCACAAACAAATTCTACGAGTTCTGTCAGTGGCTGGGTGGAGGAGGGGCCACTGGGCCACCGGGACAGCCACCTTGCCACACATCTCCCACCACCAACACTTCCTTCTAATATACCTTTAGAATCATCATTTGAATTAATACAGGCTACTGCTACATTAAACAAATATTATTTATCTCCATTAAAAATTTAAAAAAAAAGTTCATTGTGTTGATGTAATTTACATATTCAAAATTTTGATTTGCTAGTGTTACAGAAAACTATTTCTTTGTGAAAGAGAAAATGAACTGACTATTCTAACTTTGAAGGATAACTTTGTTTGTTTTAGCTACACATACACAATTAGTATACATTATAAGATTACCTCTCAAAAGCATGATAAGTTCCTTGTTATAAATATAAGAAAATCTTTGATTAAAATTAAATTGTATCATTATGATATATTCAGCCACTATCTAATATTCATTCCAATTATATTTCTTAAGATATATTTTACTATCATCATTAATGGTCCTCATTTACATTCTGGAAGTTGGAACCCGTACATGCCCCAGTACTTGCCAATAGTGACCAACCACCTGGCTAATGAGCCGATCAGTGGCGAAGAGTATAAATGTAAAAGTATGTAAACGCAAGAGAATCATCAAAATACATCCTGTTTATTTTTATATGAGCAAGTGTTTTTATCATTTTAAAAAATCAGAGGCATTTTAGGGATCACCTGAAGAATCGTCGCCCCAGAATGTCCACCTGAAGAATTGTCACCCCAGCCCACAGTGAATATAATGTGTATAATTAGGATAACATAAATATATTCCTTTGTGTTATGCTTCTTTATTGTGATACATATTACAAAGGGTACTGAACAGCAATGTGTTGACATAAAATTTCCAGAGGATTATCAGAAAAACGATCATGCCACATGAATTCTTGAAGGTAAGAATTTAAAAAGCTTCGTTTGCAGCCACGCATGGTCTTGGTGTAACTCTTGTTCTTGCTCCAATATGATTCAATTGCTTGTGTGTGCACACCAGTATTCACATCCACAAAATTGACTAAACATTTTTGAGCCCACTTACTATTATATAGTCCTCCTACCTGACTGGAGGGTCCTGACTCCATTAACCTGAAGATTAACAACCGTGGAGGGTCCTGACCCCACCTGAAGAATTGTCACCCCAGGTGTTGCCACCTGAAGAATCGTCGCCCCAGGATATCCCACCTGAAGAATTGTCGCCCTGCCGGACTCTGGGGCGACGATTCTTCAGGTGATCCCATTTTAGTCCGGAAATAGAATATTGAGGACATATAATAACAACCATTCCTAAAATTATTGTATCGTAGGCTTCATTAGCGGATTCAGTTTCATGACAGTGTTCGAAATTAAAGAGGTGTTAAAGCCCTCCCCGTTCTTCATTTGGTTGTAACGTGATATACAGTAATTAAGGCCAGGCCTTTTCATATCCCCGAATTACAAGGTGAATCTAGGATTTTCTGAACGAGAAGCCCGGACTTGTATCTCTTAACAGAGACTAATGAGTATTCCGACTGGACATATGTAGTAAGCTATAATTATCCCCATGTGAACCTATTCTTTACCTGACTGATGGAAGTTTGATATTACCCAGAGGATTTTTCTCAAATACCAGTACCTGTACAGCTTAATAGCTCCTAGTCACTCGTGTTTTACTTCGCATCGCAAAAATTTCTGCTTTCGAGTTCATGAAAAAAGCAAGCCTAAGTCATATTACATTTTTAAATAAATTCAAAATGAAAGAGTAAATGATAAAAGTGAATGCAAGTAAATAAGCAATTAAACCTACTAAAGAGTGTGTACTTACGAGCGACCAGTCCTCCTGAGGTAGAATATCAAAGGGAAGTGGGCATCATCCGCACCTGTCACAAGCGGGGTACCACAGGGCAGTGTATTGGGCCCACTGTTGTTTGTTTGTTTCATAAATGACATGCCCGACGTTGTACAGTCTTCCATACAAATATTTGCCGATGATGCCAAGTTATTTCGGGAATCAAGAACCAAGCGGACTGTTAAGAGCTGCAGAAGGACCTCTGTGGGCTCCAAGAATGGTCGAACAAATGGCTGTTGAGATTCAATGTCACGAAGTGTAAGAGGATGAACCTGGGGCGTACCAACGGAAAGGAGGCGTATCATATGTCCCAACGAGATGAAGAAACTGCACTATTTAAGACTGAATGTGAGAAGGACCTAGGTGTGGATGTTGACAATGAGCTGAAGTTCTCGGGCCATGGCGAGAAGAAGGTATATCAGGCAAATAAATTATTGGGTCTTATAAGAAGGTCGTTCAGATATCTAGACGGTCTGTCCCTCGTAACGATCTTCAAGGGTGAAGTGCTTCCCCATCTGGAGTACTCTCACCCAGTCTGGTCCCCGAGATATGCTAGGGACTGTCAGTTGGTTGAAAATGTTCAAAGGAGGGCCACCAGACTGGTGCCTGCCCGTCGGCACCTCAGCTACCCTGAGAGATTGGAGCGCCTGAACTTGCCTAGCTTATACTACAGACGGGCAAGGGGTGACCTAATAGAGGTGTATAAACAGCTCAAGGGGCACTACTCAGTCGAGTGTCCTTACCTGGAGCTGGCGGACGCTCGCCCCACAAGGGATCACAGCTCAAGATTGAAGAAGCCGCAAGTCCAGAAAAATGTGAGGGCAAACTTTTTCGGAGTGAGGGTTGTAAACTCTTGGAACAATCAATCAGAGAGTGTTGTGACGGCACCGAGTGTGAACTCTTTCAAGACAAGACTTGACCAACACTGAAACGGGTTCAGGTACATTCAGGAGCCGGTGCATGCCCAGTACTTGCCAACAGTGCTATACAGAGACGTGACCGGTCGCCCAAGCGGCTAACGAGCCGATCAGTGGTGAAGAGGATAAAAGCAATGACTTCCTGTACTCCTTTCCCACTACTGTGCTTGCGACTTGTAATGATTTCGGCGTATTTATGAGAACTCTTTGTTGGTTGTTTTGTAAGAATCAGGTTCCCTTGATAAAGCCCTTGTGTGTTATCATTATACTTCACCTTGATTACCGAAAAATTTTATCACTGTTTGAATAAGGAAATCAGATAAGCATCAGATAATACCCAACTAAGATGAAACAATTCAGGATAATAATCACAAAATAATGATAAATAATTGTATAAATAAGTAAAGGCAGAAAGAATTGAGTACATGGATTTTTCTTTTTATAATTTATTGAATATAATTATAAAAATGTTTGTTAAAGTTAGTAGCTTATATATTTTTAGGAAATAAATATTCTGAATATTGTTGAGTAGTCACGAACACTTCTACTGGAATAACACAACCACAGAAATATTGGATCACCTGAAGATTATACACCTCAATTATTTCACCTCATAATCAAATAGCCTAACGCTACATGGGGAGAGGTTAAGTTAAGTTAGATTATCGTTAGGGTGTTTCATTATGTGAAATAAGCTGGGGTATCTAATTTTCAAGTGATCCAATATTTCTTATACCAGCACCCATAAAGAAAATAATAAGTGAAGAATTACAGAAAAGCTTTAACCAGACGGGTTGTCAGAAATGGGATCCTACATTACTGCACTTGTCAGCTTACATGACGCTCGGGCGGTCAATTAGCGTATTTTAACATTGTGTGGATGATTAACATGTCACTCAGCCCTAGGACATGTCATTCTGCCATGACATTTCACTCATCCATTGGGAATGTCACTCAAGTCTTGGACATATCATTTAGTCCTGGGACATGTCACGCAAGTTTTGAACATGTCAATCAGCCCTTAGGCATGAAATTCAGGCCTGGGACATGTCAGTCAGCCCTTGCACATGTCATTCAAGCCTGGGACATGTCATTAAGGCCTGGGTCATATCATTCAGGCCTGAGACATGTCATTCAGGCCTGGGACATGTCATTCGGGTTTGGAACATGTCATTTAAGCCTAAGACATGTCATTCAGGCCTGGAACATGTCATTCAGCCCTCGGACTTGTCACTCAGTACTCGGAAATGTCTATATATCAGCGATAACAAACAAATAAGTGTATGTTTAAGCATGTGTGCGTGGGAAGCTGCATTGATGGGTGTTTGGGTGGGCGTACGTAATTTGCGCAAGTGTGTGGGTGGGCGTGGGTGTATTGGTGCGTGCGTGTGTACCGAGAATGTTGATTGATGCAGGCAAGCTTTGGACGTTGGTGTGTGGGTGGGTGGGTGGGTGTGTGAGCGTGGGTAGGTGTGTGCATGTTGGGGGCAATGCAGGCGTTATAATTTCATAAAGGGTGGGTCAGTACACACACACACAACCACCCAAACAAACGTTAACCCGACCCTAGTCTCGCCATCTATTAATCTAAAGGTTAAACTTCGGTTACATCATTACAAGATATCGCCAGAAAAATAAACACACATTGAGGACGAGTGTTCTACCTTTGTAGTACAGCGGCCCTTGATTCTGTACTCACTACGGAGTAAGGGAAAACGTATCAAATACTGCGTGCTTTTAGGGAAGGATATCCAAGCTAACTTTTGTACGAGATACATATATATTGTTATGGTTTAATGCTCATTAGTCTTATTTTGTTATTGCGTGAGGGCTGATTTAGGTTAGTGTGGGATAATCGTGTGTCTGGTAGCGAAGTGAAGGCATGTTGGTCGATTTCCCCCGCCGCCTCACGTTCACATGAATGGAGGGAATTGGGCCGTTTAGTGGAGTAGTGTTGCCGCTCTACTCATCCCGAAAACTAATTTATTACTACACCAACTTACACCTGCCGTACGCTATACAATGCTAAATAATCAAAAAATGTCTATATGGTTCAGAAATATAATGGATAAACTTAGGTTTATTGGGAGGAACTGCGTTAAAATATATTGTAGGTTAAACGTAAACATTAAAGCGTACGTGCGAACTTTATTAACCCAAAGAGAAGTAAATAAAATGTTACTGTGAAATGTAGTCAAGTCCTCAGTGTCTTAATGTAAAATGCCAGCTTAATAGTTGAACAATA